CCAAGCGTGGAGCCAATGAGCTAGCCTATGCTCTTCAACGGCAGCAGATCAAGTGAGTATCGCAAGGCTTTGACTGACAGCTGAATCTTCTTTGTGACTGGCTAATTTTCAAGAGCGAAGTGCTCCCTACTTTACCCACGTGGTGTTTTTAAAAATCAACCAGTCTTTCGCATATCTTTGTGCTCATTGTTTGAGTTATAGCGCCGTTGCGATTCATGGAGACCTGAAGCAGTTTGAACGCGAACGCAATCTTGAGCTCTTCAGAAATGGTACAAACCCCGTTCTGGTCGCTACTGCAGTGAGTGGCACTTTTCAGAAATATGTTAATGCAAGTCTTCATGTTTTTGATAATATTTGTGTATCAGGTGGCAGCACGAGGCCTAGACATTCCAAATGTCCGACATGTCGTAAACTTTGATCTCCCGGGTGATATTGACGAATATGTGCACCGCATCGGAAGAACGGGTCGTTGTGGAAATACTGGTCGAGCCACCAGCTTTTTCACAGAGAAGGTAGCTAGTAAAGGTGTACTAGGTTTGGAAGAAGAAGCTTATATTCTTTTCAGAATCGAGCACTTGCTCGGGACTTGTCGCAGTTGTTGAGTGAAGCGAACAAAGAAGTCCCTGATTTCCTCTTGCGAATGGCTGCTGAAGGAAGATCGCAAGGCAATAATCGCTCGGTTAACCGTCGTTTTGGTGGTTCAGATCAACGGCGTGGCGGAGGTGCTGGCGCGACTCGTGGAGGCTTCAGGTAGGATGATGATGCGCTTTTGTTATTTCTATAATGTTTCGAACTTTTCTTATATAGTGGTCCACCTGTTGTGCCACCAACTATGCAAAATGGCTTTGGACCAAATTTCACAGTCAACGCGATGAACGGTTTTGCTCAACCTCCACGAGGTTTTGCTCCACAACAGAATGGATTTTCACCGCAAAGTCGTTTCCCTCCCTCATTCCCACGTGGTAGGTCGATTTTACCTTCAATGAGTCTAAACAGGGAACGATCCCAACTTAAGGTGGCGA